TTTAAAAAAACTAACGGCTTGATTCTGCTCTTACTTTTCCGTGGAGCAGGATAAACAGTATGGAAAAGTGCTTACAAGGGTTTTTGTGTCAGTTGAAGCCACCAATCTAGCAGACAGGTGCTAAAATTTTAGGATTTTTAAAAAGAAATTTACTTTGTTGTCTAGGATCAGAGGAGAGCTTTAAAGCTTGTAGACTGCAAATAACCTTTAATAAGTGGTTACACACAAGAAAGGGGGATGATCAGACAGGTTCTGAGCTGAAATAGTGCTGTTCCATCACGTAAAATCACAATTTTTCATTTTTTATGGTCTGCATTTTGCACAAATTAAATGCTAGCAATCTTATTGAACTACATTAAGAGCTAGTGATCATAAAATGGCTTTGCAAGGGGGAAAAGGTAGAATTTTATTTACTTTTTAATTTAGATTTTGTTCTATGTTTGGTCAAAGCCAGACAGGCTGTTTCCCCAGTTTGCAGTCTTGATGCTAAGCTAAGCTAACCGACATGTCAGCAGCTTCATCTTAAAGAGACAGATGTGAGAACGGCATCGATCGTCTCATCTCATTCTATTTCCCCAGTGACACTACAGAAAAGCTCAGAGGTCAAACACTTTCTTTGATCGCTAACAGCACTTCAGTCTTCTATCATTTATGCACTTAAAATCCAGACAGACTGTTTTTGAAGGTTCAACACTCTACAGCAGGTTCATATCCGATGTGCAACACCTACTGTGACCTTTCGATGGGTGAGTTGGATAGATATAACCACGATGTATAACACTTTTCACTCACACTGACACTCGATTCCGTAGCTCTTTTGTACTTCCTGCCCTCTGGCGAACCGCTTCGTCTCTTTTTCACCCAAGATGTAGGCTGCATGCGACGCCCAGACCGAGGTGGAGCTCGGCGGGAAGTCATAAAAGCCACACTTCTCCTTTGAGGCCTCCAGATTCATGGGGGCACAAAGACTTCTTTATCTACCTGCACAATGCCACCAAGTTACTCCACGCTCTTACCATTATTACTCTGTCTTCTTATAGTTTTTGGGGCGGATTTTGCTCCGTTTCGGTGGCGATGTCATTTACATATTACAGCTGGTTTTCCAAAACAATTCTGCAAGTTCACATCTTCATGATGCCACATGTGGACAACAGCGACATAAGCTTGATTTCTAAGCATTAAATACAGCTGAAGTGCTAAATACTGTTACTTCCTGACACTTCAGATGGACCATTTTGACTGATACAGACATACTTTAGGTAAACAGCGCAGAGTTTCCTTTGTCTGTTCTTGTTTTGAGCAGAGCGATGCATCTCTCTTGGGCCTGAAGAAGGGAAAGGCTCAGACAAACACTGCAGTCACGTACTCATGGGAAAACTGAGCACCGGTGTGACTTTCAAGCATTGAAAGCATCATCTTATCGGTTTAAAAAATCAGTACAGCACAAAACAATGCAAATGTGAAAGGAAGAAAAATGTAAAGCAAACAATAAACATCACAAAAAGTTATAGTTAGTATTTCTATTTTCGTATTTTTCAATTAACCATGTAGGTTTTTTTTTTTTTTTTAAACCAGTTAGCTAACATTACTCCTCTTAATCTTTCAGTAGATCCACCAACTGACTTGGTTTTTGATCTCACCAATCTGACAGTGGTATACACATGTTGTTGTGTATCTGTGTATTTGCAGTAAGAAGTAAAAAAACAAAACAAAACTGTGTGACGCTCTTCTTGATCTCTTATCTGATTATGTTCATATTTCCTGGTTATAGGGGACTGTTCAAAAACTACTGGGATGGTAATGGCAGGTCTACCTTCTTCAATAAAGAAAGCTTTCTCCCATAAATATAGGAACACCCTCAGAGAACATAAAGCACCTTCACCCCGCTCTCTGTCTTTATTAGCTATCAAGTATTTCCAGTATACAGGGTTTCTCCTGGCTCTGAATGGGCCTGTGGGACATGACTACACGTGGCAGTAAAGATAGCGTGTCTGTGTAACTACGTTTGAAAGAAATCTATGCATTTTCCAGTTTTTTCGGACATTTGATGAACCAAAATGTATACTATGATTGACTAAATTAAACCTCAATCAGCAAAACTGCTTCTGCCAAACATTCCTTTCTGCAGGAAAAACCCCGAGTGTGGTTCAGACATATTGAAGCAGGTCACGAGGATGACAGGTAGAACAATTATCATACTGCAGAAAACAAGATTAGCCGTCCTATTTGATAAACACAGATATGTGGTCAGCTGTTACCTTGGCTCGCTATTTACGGGGTTTTCCACTGGAACTATAAAAAAAAAAAGAAACGCTCTCTCTCATTTAACCGGCAGTGGCATTTCGCTATGAGGAAGCATTTATGTGTCTCAGGGTTTTAAGATATTCATCTGGAGATATCTGCTGTCAACGTAATGAAAGGAGCTGACATTTTGCTGAAGATAGTTGAAACTTTTACACAGTTACACGTACAATGTGGTGGTTACTCATGAAAGCTCCCCAACATCTTTGTAAGCAGTTTTTGTTATTTAGGCCTTAAGAAATAGTTTTCTGTGTGTTCATAGTGTTCTGTGTTGGCAGGTGTGTTTGTGGACAAAACATGCATTGAAAACTCAACTTACATCAGTAGAATTTGTACTTTTAAAACATGTTTCTGGAAGTGATAGTCTTACTTATACACCACACACACCTGATGATGGCCTCAGGTGAAGGGTTACTGGATTAACAAACTGATTGTCCTGAGGGGAACAATGTTTTATGACAATCAATACTCATCACATTTTAAGCAAAACCAAAAAGGTCGAGGTAAACAGGTATTCTTTGTCTTTGAACCCTCAATTTCTCAAAAAAAAAAAAAAATCCAAATAGACGACACATTTCACTGGGTGATGAAAAATCCAACAGCATTTATCATTATTTCCAACAAATTCCTTTAATTCCACTTAAGGTTAATACAGTTAAGAGCAACAGTTCAATTTGCTGTGAAATTCAATTAGATTTATAACAATACTGTCAAAATGAGTGTTAGTCTAAGAAGCCAGTGTTTCAGAAGATTCAGCCGCTTAAATGAAGACTATGATGACAGTTTGAGGTAACATATCATAAATATAGTATATACTCTAAGGGTAGGTTTCTTAAAGGTACTGTGCAATGAAAAATACATTAAACAGAGCCTCTGTGTTGTTTGGCAAGAACAGGCCAAAGTAAAGTGACTTAAGGGAGATCTGCATCTGTATAGACTGTCAGACATCAAGGTCATGGTCATTTTCTGTAGAAGGAAACTGGACGTCTCTTTTTGGTTCTTCAAGACGTTGATGCCTCTTCAGTTCTAACTGACTGATGTGGAGTCCAAGATGCACTGTCACATAGACGTCATGTGGCTAATGGTGTGAAGAAACTGCAAGGTCAGGGGTGACTCAAGATGTAAATGAAGGTGAAACTTTCTGAGGATAGATCTCAAGACTGCATTCTAAGTACCTGATAATTGCTGTTGTTGATCCGCCTCCTCTGGCTGTTCCAGTTGAACACAGATGACTTCCTTCACTCCTCTCCAGAACAATCTGTCTCTGCCTAGAATGTGAACGTTGCCGCCCTTAAAGGAGTGTTCTTTATCCTGTAGATGCAGGTGAACTGCTCAGTCTTGTCCTGAGAAGCTGGTTCTCCTGTTTTGATGCTGATATGTAGTCTCCTCCTCCTACTCCTATGTATAGGTGTGTGCACTCTCCACAGCTTTGGACTGCATATACAACATCGCTCAGCTTGTGTTTGGGTGTTTTATCCTCAGGGTGAACTGTTTTTTGTAGAAAGCATTGCTCTGTATAAAGAGCACTGCTATGTTACGTTTGGAGAAAATTCTCGAAGACGTCAGTTATCAGGTACTTACACTCACCGGCCACTTTATTAGGTACACCTTGCTAGTACCGGGTTGGACCCCCTTTGGCCTTCAGAACTGCCTTAATCCTTCATGGCATCGATTCAACAAGGTACTGGAAACATTCCTCAGAGATTTTGCTCCATATTGACATGATAGCAACACGCAGTTGCTGCAGATTTGTCGGCTGCACATCCATGATGCAAATCTTCCGTTCCACCACATCCCAAAGGTGCTCTATTGTATTGAGATCTGGTGACTGTGGAGGCCATTGGAGTACAGGGAACTCATTGTCATGTTCAAGAAACCAGTCCGAGATGATTCATGCTTTATGACATGACGCGGTATCCTGCTGGAAGTAGCCATCAGAAGATGGGTCCACTGTGGACATAAAGGGATGGACATGGTCAGCAACAACACTCAGGTAGGCTGTTGGATGCTCAATTAGTACTAAGGGGTCCAAAGTGTGCCAAGAAAATATCCTCCACACCATTATACCACCACCACCAACCTGAACCGTTGATACAAGGCAGGATGGATCCATGCTTTCATGTTGTTGACGCCAAATTCTTACCCTACCGTCCGAATGTCGCAGCAGAAATCGAGACTCATCAGACCAGGCAACGTTTTTCCAATCTTCTGTTGTCCAGTTTTGGTGAGCCTGTGCGAATTGTAGCCTCAGTTTCCTGTTCTTAGCTGACAGGAGTGGCACCCGGTGTGGTCTTCTGCTGCTGTAGCCCATCTGCCTCAAGGTTCGACGTGTTGTGCGTTCAGAGATGCTATTCTGCATACCTCGGTTGTAACGAGTAGTTATTTGAGCTACTGTTGCCTTTCTATCAGCTCCAACCAGTCTGGCCATTCTCACTGACCTCTGGCATCAACAAGGCATTTACGCCCACAGAACTGCCGCTCACTGGATATTTTCTCTTTTTCGGATCATTCTCTGTAAACCCTAGAGATGGTTGTGCGTGAAAATCCCAGTAGATCAGCAGCTTCTGAAATACTCAGACCAGCCCAACAACCACGCCACGTTCAAAGTCACTTAAATCACCTTTCTTCCCCATTCTGATGCTCACTTTGAACTGCAGCAGATCATCTTGACTATGTCTACGTGCCTAAATGCATTGAGTTGCTGCCATGTGATTGGCTGAAATTTGTGTTAACGAGCAGCTGGACAGGTGTACCTAATAAAGAGGCCGGTGAGTGTATAATGCAGTCTTCAGATCTCTTCCCAGACAGTTTCAACACCATCAACACCTTGAGTCTTGAGATATGTTTTCAGATATATTTCAGACAATTAACATTTGTGACTTTCCATCAGTCAGTTAGAACTTAAGAATCATCCTGAACATGAGGTGAAACATCTTCAGGAACTCCAGTTACCTTCTACTAAAGCTCTTAGAACCTAAATAGACGAAAGTTCTTGTTACTTCCTATTTAAAGTTTTAAAGTCGTGTCTGGATCTCGACACAACTCAATCTCCAGAGAGGTTTGTTTCTAACTTTAACCCCCGTTTCTTTAAAAACTTGAGGAGCTTCAGCCGACATCCTGGAGTGTTCACAAAACCACCCCTTCATACGAAACTGCTTTGTTGGACGGCACCACAGGTTTCTGTAAAATGACGCCCATATTGTTGATTCCAATCTTTCTCTTCAGTTCGGTTACTTCATTTTTCACCAGACGTTGGATATTCTTGAAAAGCTTTTTTCAAACTCCATCAATGCAATGAATCTTTACAAAAATTAATTTACTTTTTCTTTTTTTTACCTGCAAAATATATATAGTATACGTATAAATATATTTTCTCGTGGACGTTTGTTAGAACCTACTTATTTGAAAGCAGTTTTTGCAGAGTTCAGCATTCTCAGTGGGAGCACGTCCTCCACCCACTCAGTCGGAGAAGCCATCATTCGCTCCCACAGAGCCACCTCATAAGGACTCGAGTCCATCCAGTCCACCGGCGCTCCATAACTTCTGCCTACAGACACAAACAACAAGCACTGAAAACGCGTCTATGCCCAGATAAAGCGTGTATTACAAAACTCTTGGCTTCAGTTTGAAGCTCAGTTCAAAACTTTTTAAATGTTAAGCCTATTTAGAAAATTAATGCAATTAATTTTCCCTTTCATAGCTTTTGTGTGTTTTATTATATTCACACTTTATATAACAGAAGTCAGCTCTTTCCTTTTCGACATACTTTGATCCAGAAATGTTATTCAAAACTTAAATAGGTCATAGCTTCTTTGAACATAATCAGCGCAGTTTCAGGTTTCTGATGTCTTTTATCCACTTTGTTTTGTGAAATTACATTCTGCACAGTTTTCAGACTATAAAGGCTGTGTGTGGGCCAATGAGTGAGAGCCAGCAAATGTATTTAATTCAGTTATTTCACATAGTTATTGTATAATAAAATGTGCAACTCCACTTCCTTTCACTCATAATATAAACACCATTGTGGATCTTATGTTCACGTTCCCATTCACTTCCTCTGCAAGTGTGGCTGTAAATTGTAGTATTTGAATAGTATGCGCAAATATGACAGCTTGTTCAGTCACTTTGCTGTGGGAATGAGGTGTAAAAATCTAAGTGATTAGATCCTGGCTTTTTGGTTTGTCTACATAAGAGGTGTCACTGCGTGTATCCTGATGGTAACACAGCCAGTCAAAGTGTTGGAATGTGGGTAATTCAATTTCTCCTCGATGTGACTGAAACTTGTGTCATTTTCCTGCTCTCTATCCTCGTGTTTCTTGTTTACCTTCGCTGTGAATAAACCAACAGTCAGTGCAGACTGACTTTGAAAAACTCCCAACATTCCTTAGGTCCACCTTTCAAATTATGATGTTGCTGCTTTTCTTTGTCTTATATGACAGCAAATGCAATAGTTTTGAGTTTCAGACAGCATGGCTGGATAAAATCAGCAATTTGAGCATGCTCTGTTGCCAGATTGGTAACTTCTTCACTAGGTTCTGTTCCCTTTGAAACCATTTTAGTGAGTTTGTTGCTTGGCTCTGTGACTGTGCAGCAGCATGTCCACTCGGCCAACAACAGAGCTGCAAACGTGTATTTGAAACAACCAGTCACTGATCACCATGCTGTGTCTAGGAAGCCCTTCTCTTTTTCTTTTTACGTATTGTCATATTTTGACATGGCTACATATTTCTAGGATGTGAATCCTCTCGATCATGATAATGTAAACGTAAGGACTTCTAGCAATTTTGCAAGCAGACTTCAGGCACTGAAAAACAGACAAAGCTCATGAAGACGACGCCTTGGACTGCAGGAAATGTTGATGAGAATTAGTAGAAAGATTTTTGCACAAGTAGCAAATGATCGCCACTGAACTGATGAATGCACTACATTTTTGATTTTAGCATCTGATCAGGTGTGACAGTGAACAATCTGGTGGCTTAGTGTTATTTTATAAACCTTCGAATTTCAGATAACACATAGATTGTGCTTCTCCAGTTCTCCTGTTTCTATATCAACCTATGTGACGCTCCAGCTGAGATTTGTCATCCGTTTACATACTTTGACATGACATTAACGTTCTTCCACCGGTACCTGTTCCAGCTCCGAGCCTCAGGCCACCCAGCAGGTTGCTTGCGAGTCTGTCTCGGTCCCAGACGGTGAGCTCCACGCAGGCCTCGTTGAGGTCGGCCTCCGTGATGCCGTCATACACCATCGTGTGGTTAAACACCGGATCCACCGTCCTCCGCAGCACTCGCGTCTTCTGCCGGCTTTTCCTGCTCGTGTCTGGCAGCACAAAGCTGGAGATGACGAGGGAGGAAAAAAAAAAAAAAAGAAAACAGGTTGACTGACATGGCAGCAAACTGATGCTTTTTCGTGAGATGAATGATTTGTGCGTACCACTTAACATATGGGTCGATGGTGGCTCGGATTAGAGGCAGGTTCTTGCATTCTTTCACCCAGATGTGAATCTCTCCGGTGTTGGGACCATCTTTAGCGATACCTGAAAGAAGATTACACACAAAATGTTCACGAGCTGGCAAAACTCAGGAACTACACAACTTTTTGATGAAAATTAAGACTTGAATCTGACCTTTTGACATCTTATTTATTGCACAAAAATGTACAAATGTGTTTTTTTGTGTGGGAAAACAGCCTCTGAAGTACAAAAGTGAGCTAATAAACTGAGCCAAATTGCTGTACGAGAGAACTTTGGCTGTTTCATGTCTTCATTCAAGCAGGATTATTAGCTTAGTTGCATTATATGAGATCTCCTAGAATTCCTGTGCTTTCGTGGCGTTAGTCTACCTTCAAATCACATTTCTAAATGTATAAATTTGTCATTTCATTTCCAAATTTTGATTTCACCGTAAAAACCTTTTGAAAATTTCTACAAAAAGACACATAACAGCAGAAAATACTCTAAGAAAAAGCTGATATTTTTGGATTAACCAGTTAAAATGGACAAGAAAGCTGAACTAACACATTTTATTTGTGAATTGAAATGCTTGTTTTTAGCATTGCTGCTTGAATGCTGCATGTTTAGGCTCAGTTTCTCACGCCAACAAACATGTCATAAATCATATTTTCTACAAAGCAGAGAGGGTTTATTTTATAAACCTTCACTGTGGATGATCTGAGGCAGGAAACGTATGGCGAGTCTCATCTCTCCTCGGCCGTTTGATGGCGCCACAGTGGGCGTTGCCTGAAACAAAGGTGGCATCACGTAAAGAGTCCATGCAAAAAATTCATCGTCTGATATAACCAGCTCGAAATTAATGAGCCTCCTGACCACGTTCTTAGATGAATCGCAGTTATTTGATGAGAAAACAACTCCTGAGCATAAAGCGACCTTTGTGTGTGTGTGTGTGTGTTTGTCGTTACCCTTGCTTTCAGAGCTAAGTAATTCATCTGGGTGTGGTCGAAGTCCCACTTGGAGAGCTCCACGTCCACCTCACCCAGGAAGCTGTTCCTGCCAAAGGTGTCGTGATGCCAGACGGAGAGAATGAGCGTCTGTGTCCTGAGATACTCCATGCGAACTCGATACTGTAAGGACAAGGAAGAGCGAGCTGCTTTTGTGTTTTTATGGGGGCAAGTTCTACATTGTGGGAAAAGCCTGCGTTGGTGCAACGTTGCGTACTCTGAGGATCTCGTTAAAAGTCGGGTTAAGAGTCTTCTTTTTCACAGATGTTTTCCTCTTTCCAAGATTGGCTTTGTCAGGAACCAGGTAGCTCTTGACGTACCTTAAAAGGAAAAAAAAGCATTTGGTTAGTGGCCACATGCC